ATGATGAACCAGCTGGAGCCCGAGCACCAATCTATGTTTGAAGTTGAAAAGAGTTTTTGGCATTCAATTCAGACCACGGTGATTCTATCGTGACAACAATTGAGGCCCCAAAGGCCAAAGCAAAGGCCAAGGCAAAGGCTAAAGCCGCTGCGGACGATGATGATGACAGCGACGACGATGAACCAGCTGGAGCCCGAGCACAAACGTATGCTGGAATGTTGAAAAGAGTTTTGGCATTCAAACAATTTGAGACCACGGTGATTCTATCGTGAAGCGATTGAGGCCCCAAAGGCCAAAGCAAAGGCAAAGGCTAAAGCCGCTGCTGCTGATGATGATGACGACAGTGACGAGGAGGAGGAGGAGGTAGGATTCCAAGGAAGCACGTTGTGCTAGTTTTAATTTGTTGTCGTTTGGAGCATGATGAAACGAAGGTGATGGAGAGGGGTGACAATCACAGTTCGAGTACGTTCAAGTCCAGCCATGTCCAGCCCTGCGTGCGTTGGACTTGCCCTTTCGGAGGCTCCAAAGCCTAAGGCCAAAGCAGCCAAAGCTAAAGTCGTCGATGAGGATGAAGACGAAGAGGAGGAGGAAGAGGAGGTGCCAAAAAAGAAGGCGAAAGCAAAGAAGGCCTTTGGTATCCTTTGGTCCTCTGAAATAGAGAGCTGGTCGTACACGTGCGGCATGGTACAGCATGGTACAGAGAGTTGATGCAAGGCAGACGACGAAGACGAGGCTCCCCAGGCCGTTCACTCATGCGAACTCGTCACCCAGGCGTAGCTACTAGGAACAAGTGCATCGCTTCTAGTAACAAGTGCCTTACTAGTAGTAACAAGTGCCACGCTAGTAGAAACAAGTGCCTTACTACTAGTAACAAGAAGCTACTAGTAGCGATGCACCCAGGTGTAGTCTGGTGTTTACCCTGTCTATGTGGCTTGAGGCGAAGAAAGCAAAGACAGGCGATTGTAAACAGCAAAACGTGCAAGGTGTGTTCTTTCTATAGTAGACAGCATGATATCTGAAATACATTTTCTATTTGTTGCTCTTAGGTTGGACACTATTAGGTTGGAGGCCATCGTTATTGGGTTGGAGGCCATTGCTATTAGGTTAGAGGCCATTGCTATTAGGTTGCAGGCCATTTCTATTAGGTTGGAGGCCATTGCTATTAGGTTTGAGGCCATTGCTACTGGGTTTAAGGCCATTGCTATAAGGTTGGAGGCCATCGCTATGAGGTTGGAGGCCATCGCTATTAGGTTGGAGGGCATTCCTATTAGGGTTGGAGGCCATCGCTATTAGGTTGGAGGCCATGGCTATTGGGTTGGAGGCCATTGCTATTGAGTTGGAGGCCTTGGTATTACGGGTATTAGGTTGGAGGCTTGTATACTTTCAAAACGTTCTTGTTTCCTTTGCTTTCTTTTGCTTGTTTGCCGCTTCATGGTTTGCACTTTGAGTTTGGCCTTCCGAAACTCGTTAGGGGAGACAACTGGCGCACCTTAGCTGCCTGTTCAGCCTCGTTTTTTGCGATTTGGTACCGCATGTCTTTGTTCCTCAGGATGAGCTGACTGTTTTCGTGGGTGGGCTGCCGTTCGGCACAAGTGCGGAGCTTTGAGACCATTTGGGAATGCTGTCTTTTTGCCACTTGTACATCAACGCGTCAAAGAGTAATTTGGTTGGCCCTTTTGAAGGTGAAGCGCAGATAAAGAAGGACTTCGAAGAATGTGGCACCATTGCCAGGAGAGGTTTCCCAGATGGGCAGCTACACTAATCACGCTAAGCAAGTGGCTGATTCCTTTTTCTCTATGCCAGTTTTAAAGTGGTTTGCTTCTTTTGCGAAGAAGTTGTGTTGTTAATGATTCTACTTATTCCTATTCATTTTACGACCAAGGTTCAATCTTCCGAAGAATGAGGAAGGCAAGCCCAAAGGCGCGCAATGGCGGTGTTTTTCCTTCGGGGTCATGCCAATACGACCTTTGTGCAGTCCAGGAATTGCCTTCATCACCTACGAGAGCCAAGAAGGACACATTTGGCCAATGCCGACTCGTTTTGCTTATTCCTCCAACCCAATAGCGATGGCCTCCAACCTAATAGGAGTGGCCTTCAACCTACTAGCAATGGCCTCCAACCTTATGCTGAAAGAAAAGGATTCAGTTTGCCTTCAAGCCTTCTTTCCACTTCCTGACCCGGGCGACAAAGAGGAGTGGATGCTGCACTCAAATACGACGGAGATGACTATGGGGGACGAACTCTTAAGGCAGAAGCTGCAAGTCGCACTTAGTCCCTTGTGGACGTTTTTTCGCATCGAAACCTTTTCTATACGGAACCACATGACAGAAGCGTGAGCTTTCCTGCGTCCAGTTGGTAGCTTCCTATTGCTAGTAGCTTCTTACCTTATACTTGGAGCAAGGACGCTACTAGGGGCTCCTGGCATCGCTACTAGGAGCAAGGACGCTACTAGGGGCTCCTAGTTCGATTAAACGAATGGTTCTGCATTCAATCCTGCTTCCTAGTTTGCCTCATGGCATGCCCTCAATCAAATGTGTACTATAGTACTATGTCCAACCTACTAGGGATGGCCTCCAACCTACGAGCGATGGCCTCCAACCTGCTTGCGATGGCCTCCTAACTACTAAGTATAGTCCTATAGTGCTATATAGTACAACTAGACTCGTCGACTAGTTGGTAGGGTTTGACCAGAAGCCTCAATCAACCATTGCCTTTTTGAAGGATAAGTGAGTCGATTCTCTAAGCCTTACTGTTTTTGAATTTTGCTACTAGGAGCAAGAATGCTACTAGGAGCAAAGGGCATCGCTACTAGGAGCAAGGACGCTACGAGGGGCTCCTGGCCTTACTACTAGGAGCAAGAAGCTACTAGTAAGTTTGATGTTTTTTTGTTCAGAGCGGAGGGCAGCAAACTTTCAGTACAGTGAGTTGGTGGTTCAATGGTCATATCCCTCCTCCTGGTCATGCTTAGTTGTTTTGGGGGGGACTTGACTTATGGTTTCATCACTGGTTTCATCTCACCTCGCATTTACACATTTCGCAAGCATATCCCTTTGAAGCATATTGCCTTTGACTTTCATTTCTACTTGTCTTAGCTCGTCTAGCTCTTTCTGTTTCCCTGTCACCTTTTAACTCTAGCAGTCTCCCTGCATTTGCAGATATGCACCCTTACACAAAGCATGTCCTTTCCGTAAGCCTCCTTACATGTATTACACTTAATACGCTCTATCTACTACATATCACTCTCATCTCTTGAAACCTCCTCATTGCTCCTTACAACCACCGAATCATCCACCTCCTAGAGAAATAACCAAACAATAACAAAACCAAAGCAACCAACAAACCAAAAGAAGAACACATATTCTAATATTATGAGCAAGAACGCTCTTAGGGGCTCCTGGCATCGCTACTAGGAACAAGAAGCTACTAGGGGCTCGATATTCTAGAAGCGCCTAGTTCTCTCTTGTGTTTTTCCTCTCTCTCTCTTTCCAGTTTTTGGAGTTGGATGTGTTCGCCTTGCAGATGCACCGACACCAGCCCCCCAAACACATAGAATCAACTATGTCTATCTCTGACCACATTTCCAGAAACTGCTAGTTGAAGCAAACTAATCTACATCAAGCAAAGAATATACTTGCCAGATGCCTTTTAGGTTGGAGGCCATCGCTAATGGGGTTGGAGGCCATTGCTATCAGGTTCATGTCTTGCGTCCAGCTTACCAGGTCAACCTGGCCAGCGAGAAGAGGGACAAGGGGAAAGGTAGGACGTCACGGTGTTGTTTTGGGTGTTGCACAATCTACTTAGCTTTGCACATCCTTGACTCAGCAAGGCAAAGATGGTAAAGGAAAGAGCAAAGGAAAAGTTGAATGCTCAAGCATGCTCACATGTGTGATTTCATTCATGCTCAACTGCTTGCGTGCAAAGCGGGATGTGTTCGATGTTCCAAGGATGGTAAAGGCAAAGGCAAGGAAGACAGGAATGACGATCTCACAGTGGTGATCAAAGGTCCCTCAGCATGTCACATGTGGTGAAAAGGCGTGTTGAAAAGGCGTCCGTTTACATATATTCTCGGTTGTTGATTGTGTTTCCTTTAGATCTACCGACGTGTCTTTTTCCTTCCTTTCTTCAGCTTCATACCATGTCGAGGCTTGTCCTGGGACCTCACCAAGGAGACCATAGAGAAGGACACATTGGGGTAGCATGTTTCAAGGTTTTAGTAAGTGTTTGGATGTCCAACTTCACTTATTTCAAACACCACACATTGTTGCTATGTTGAGTCACATCAAGACTCCTGGCATTTGTCAATGGGAGCCAATAGCAGAAGTTGCAACTGTTGCTGTGCTGCTGCGCTGCTGCTGTTTGTCGTTTTCATCACGCCCTTGTCTCAGCATTCTTAGGTTGGAGGCCATCGCTAGTAGTTTGGAGGCCATCGCTTCTAGGAACAAGAAGCTACTAGGGGCTCCTGGCATCGCTACTAAGAGCAAGGACGCTACTAGGGGCTCCTGGCCGTACTACTAGGAGCAAGAAGCTTCTAGGTTGGAGGCCATCGCTTCTAGGTAGCTCAAGTTGCTCGAAGATGACGAAACTGCTGGTTGCTTTGTTGTCATAAATCATGCAGAGCATCCCAGAAAGAGGTCCTCTCACAGCGGACAGGAGCAGCCTCCTTGTTGACAATCGGAAGTGCTGAGTCCAAGTAGTAGTAAGGCCAGGAGCCCCTAGTAGCATCCTTGTTCCTAGTAGCGATGCCCCTTGTTACTAGTAGCATCCTTGTTCCCAGTTCGGAGTTCACGCATCCATTTGATTTCTTCGATCATAGCTCGCTTGCTTTTTGCTTTCTTGGGCGCACTGTTGTTGGCAGTTTTGGACAAGTCTCAACTGTATTCAGGCCTTGGACATACTGTTTTTACAAGTCTAGACCTTTGTTTGCTACTAGGGGCTCCTGGCATCGCTACTAGGAGCAAGGACGCTCTTAACCTGAAGGCCATCGCTTCTAGGATGGAGGCCATATCTAGGTTGGAGGGTCCCTGTCTGGGCGTTTGACTAAGTACCGTGAGGACTTCAGTGAGTGTGGCGAGCTGAAGCGGTGCAGTGTGCCATTGAATGAGGCAAGCAGAGCTTGTGCAAAGTAGGGGCTGAAACTAGTAGCAATGCCCTTGCTACGTTCGTAGCGATGCACTTGTTACTTGAAAGCTTCTTGTTACTAGTAGTCATGCCAGGAGCGCCCCTAGTAGCATCCTTGTTACTAGTAGCGATGCCAGGAGCCCCTAGTAGCGTCCTCTTGCTACTAGTAGCGTCCTTCCGTGCATCGACTCAGTGCACTAAATGCTTCCAGGAAGGCAACATCAAAGGCATT